TGGGGGTATACTACTGTACACACTGACTGGTTATGTAATTGTGTGTGGCTGGGGAAGGGGGCAGAGGACGGCTTTCAGGAGTTTGCTTTCTACCTCTTCTGTTTGGTAGCTGGCCTGTGAGTGTGAGAGCCACTCTCCTGCCTCCACCTCCCTTTTTGGTTGCAGAGACACAGATGCAGGCTCCACATCCAGCTTTTGGATGTGTACCAAGGACCAAACTTGGGTGGTCACCACAGCTAGCCGAGGCATCTCCCTGCACCTGCACCGGGTCTTGTTTCCCATCCTTGGTCTTGTTCGCTTTTTCTGTAACAAGCCCTTGAGTACTTCGCAGTCTTAAGGACTGGTCTTCCTTTCTGTAGTGGTGACATTCTCTGTCTCTCTTCAGCTGTGGTGTCCTTCCATTACTGCTCTTCTGCTCGCCATCAAACCCTGCTGAAAAGCAGATGCACGTGGCCAAGCCCCGTGAAGGGCACCTGGAGATGTTTCAGCCATTGCTGCTGCTTTTCTAATCTGCGCTGAGAGCAGCGGTGGCCTCTTTCTCCCTCCTCACAAGCTCTAACAGGCACGTCTCCATGTGCTGTCCCCTCCCCATGTTGGTGTGTCTGTACAAAACACCAGAAAAACAAGCTGTGCGGCACTCATAGCCAAACACGAGGCCCACCTGGCCCAGGTTTCTATTTATCCATGTCTGTTTATTCATGATGTTGAGTAGAAGTTTATTAGGAAAGTGTTCTTTTTCTTTCTTTCTTTTTTTGCAGCATTTTATAAAATTTATTTTATTTATTTTTTTAAAATTTATTCACTTCATGTCCCTCCCTCATCTACTCCCAGTCCCACCCTCCCTTTCTCTTTCCTTCTATCTCTCTCTGATAGTCCACTGAAAGGGGGAGTCCTCCTCCCCTACTTTCTGACCCTAGCCTATCAGGTCTCATCAGGACTGCCTGGATCCCCTTTCTCTGTGGCCTGCCCTGCCAGGGGGAAGTGATCAAAGAGCAGGCAACAGAGTCCATATCAAAGACAGCCCCTGATCCCCTTACTAGAGAACCCACATGGAGACTGAGCTGCCTATGGGCTACGTCTGAGCAGGGGGTCTGGGTCTTCTCCATGCATGGTTGGTACATCAGTCTCTGCAGGGCCCCCTGGGCCCAGATTTCTTGGCTTTGTTTGCCTTCTTGTGGAACTCCTGTCCCCTCTGGGCCTTTCTATCTCCCACTTCTTCCATAAGACTCCCTGTGCTCTGACCAAAGTTTGGCCATAAATCTCAGCATCTGCTTTGATCCCCTGCTGGTTGAAGTCTTTCAGATGCTCCACAATTAAACAGGGACATTTGCTCAACTATGTTCATAGCAGCTTTATTCATAATAGCCAGAATCTGGAAATAACCTGGATGTCTCTCAATGGAAGAATGGATACAGAAATTGTGGTACATTTACACAATGGACTACTACTCAGCGTTAAAAACAAGGACATCATGAAATTTGCAGGCAAATGGATGGAACTAGAAAAGATTATCCTGAGTGAAGCAACCCAGAACCAGAAAGACACGCATGGTATATATTCACTCACAAGCAGATATTAGCCGTATAATACAAGATAACCATACTAAAATTCACAAACCTAACGAAGCTAAATAACAAGGAGGACCAGAGGGAGGATGCTTAATTCTCAACCAGAAGGACAAGCAGGATAGACACCAGAAGCGATGGAAGGGATAGGAAAGAGTTCTTACCTGGAGGTTCATGTTTTAGTCAAAAGTTAATTTTGTGATTTCCAGTATTCACTCTAACCCAAGCTGGGGTAGGCTGCCCTAGTTGACAGGGAGCCTGGGGTCACAGTTTGCACACTGACTTCACCTTGAGGTTTAGACACAACACAGAGAACTGGTATCATTTGAGCCCCTTATGGGAAATTAGAAGAGGCAAAAGACATGGGCTGGGAAATTCTGATTTTCTCAGACATCATCCCTCCTGTTTGGACCACTGAGCATATGGCCTTGGAGTCAGGAGACCTAAAATCAGGTCTTAGTTCTGGACCTGACAGCTGTGTGTCCACAGGCAGGCCATTTCAATTCTCTAAAACTCTGTACCTTAAATACAGACAGTGATTCTCCAAAGGATGGCTTGGAAAGGTAGGAAAACTGCTAAGTTTCCACATGTCTTGTACCCATTTGTATTATGCCTTACATCTTGCATGTCACACCCAGCCTTCTAGCCAAGTGCCCAAAGCAGAGAGTGTGGCTTGAGATAGACCACAGAGTGTCCATCACATACACGGATGACATGCTTTGCACATAGTCCTGTATGGAACTAACAATGGTTATTACCGGGCAATGAGTCCTTATACCCAGTTCAGCTACCTGGGATGGCGGGGAAGCTACTTTGTGCTGGCTGCAGCTAGGTCCAGGTCTCTATGTCAACACTGGCTTTGCACTGGTCTGCCTGATCGGTGTATCTGCTTCCCCTCAGATTATTTAATGTTCCCGCAGAAACACTTTAAATTATGTCCAAGCCAAGCAAACACAAGTGTGTGATGATGTGCATTGATTACGGTTCTAACTTTTTGCATTATTCCAACTCCCCCCCCCCCCAAAAAAAAACCCCTCTGAGTACCACTTCTCACAAATGGCTAGAGGTGGGGAGTTTATAAAACATTAGGCTTTCTACACAGGCAGCTGGCAGGAGATGGAGATCCCAGGTGCCACACACCTCAGCTAGCAATTCTGTTGTGCCTCATCTAGCTCATCTGTCCTCTGGACAGCCCCACACATAGGTGCCATTGTTATTCTTATTGTATAGTCGAGAAACTGGGGCCAACAGAGACCTGGTACCTTTCCTGCGGTTACAGTGCTGGGAAGTGGAGGTGATTTAAGGCTCAGGCAGCCTGGATCTGGGAGTTGCGCTGCTTACCACACAGCCCTGCCTCCAGGTTCTCAGGGGACTGCTCCTTACCGTGTTTCTTGTCCTTAGTGGATTCTCCTCCTTCTCCCTGCACCCCAGCCCACAAGCTCCTCAGGAGACGTGGCGGAGGCAACCTTAGGGGTGACAGGGACCTGCCTAGCTGTGGGCAGCCATGGAGCAAGGCAAAGACTCCAGCACTGTAGGATGCACAGGTTCTTCTGCATGCAACACACGTCCCAGGATGGACACAGGCATCCAGAGTGCTTCCTGCAGATTCCCATCGGAGGGAGAAGCGTCATTCAACTGCTTTGACATCATAAGTTTTTTTCATTGCTATTTATTTTTTTATTAATTAGTTCAATTTATATGACTCCACCTTTTTTCAGTCCCATCCTTTCTCCTGCACCCCCTCTCCCCCATTCCTTAGACTAGGGTAGCCCCCTTTACCCAGACATCCCAGCTCATCTATTCACATAAGTTCATCTTCCTCTACTGTGGCCTGGTAGGGAAGTCCCATCAGGGGGAAGTGGTCAAAAAGCAGGCAACATGGTCCAAGTCAAAGATATTCCCCACTCCCCTAACTAGTGGGCTCACATGAAACCTAAGGTGCCCATTGGATATATCTTCTTGGGGTCTGTGTGTTTGCAGTATGTCTATCCTGTGCTATAACCATCATAAGTTTTATGATGTCTTGCTCATTGCATGAGCCTCCCCATGGATATCTGTGGAATCAGGAACTCCCGCCAGGAACTCCTACATTAGCAGTACGCTATCATTCACTGGAATTCTTCTGTCAAATAAATGCTGGTGACCAGCTAGCCCATTCTGTCAAGCAGAATTGAAGGCGGGCATATCTCTGAGGAAACCTTGAAATGCAAGAATTTTGCCATCAGACAACAAGCTGAGCAGTTGAGCTGCCACTGGAAACGATCTTACACGCTCTGTGAAGGCTCAGGGCAGCCCTTCCCAGCAACCACTTCTTCCTGCTTACAGATAAATTCCGAACAAAATCAAACTCATCAAAGGAGACTGTGCCAGACTCCATGAGCACCCAAGAGCTTCTCCTTTGTGGTGCACATTTCCCCTCACAAAAGATATGCTTTTTGGAAAAATTCAAACCTACAGCCTACTTTGGAGGTCCCACTGGAGCTATGATGCATTTCTTTCTGCAACCATGCCTCTGGCTTACACCAGGACCTTTTTTCCTGAGTCCATTTACGCACTTCTTTCCAGAAACATACTCTGTTGAG